GGTTGGTTTTGTTCATTAATCTCATATTCTGCAACTGTGCCAAACTCATTGATTCATTTTCGAAGATTTTTAGTCGATTTTTTTTTAAGATTTTATTTATTTATTTGACAGACAGAGATCACAAGTAGGCAGAGAGGCAGGCAGAGAGAGAGAGGGAAGCAGGCTCCCCGCTGAGCAGAGAGCCGGATGTGGGGCTCGATCCCAGGACCCTAGGATCATGACCTGAGCCGAAGGCAGACGCTTTAACCCACTGAGCCACCCAAGCACCCCATTTTAGTCGATTTCTTAGGATCTTCTGTATGCGTGATTATGTCGTGAGCACACAGAGATAGTTTCCCTTCTTCTTTCCCAGCCTGGAAGCCTTTTATTTCTTGATCACACTGGGTGGAACCACCAGCATGACATTGACTGGAAGTGGCAGGAGTCGACAGCCTGGTCTTGCTCTCCGGTCATTCCCAGAACAGCATGTCTCCACGTGGTCCTGTTCTTGAGAAACTCAATCTCCGTGCCATTAATACATGAAACCGAGGTTGACGCTCACGGGTGGGACAGCTTGGGGTGGGCTGGGATAGCAGGGAAGACTTCCTGACACAGGCGGGAGTTGGCTTGGCAGAGGGAAAAGGTCATCGTTGGGCAGGGTGGGCGCATGAACGTACAGAAAAATGGGCATGAGCGAGTCCCTGCGTATGGAGGAGCTGCGGGGCTGTTACAGGATGGGAGTTTGTCACACGGGTTCCGCTGCGGGGAGGCCCACACCCCACCCATCAGCACCCTTTGAAGTGCAGAGTTTCTCAGAGCAGGTCCACCGACCGACCCACAGTAGAATTGGGGGGGGGGCATCTGTCCCATAGATTCGGCCCCTTGCCCCAGACCCGCGTGCTGCATGGGAGGCCCGGGAGCCAGATCCCAGCAGATCTTTTCCAGAGAGCCTGGTGGATCCTGAAGGCATCTCCTCCCCAGCTTTCCCATCTCACTTGGGCCCGCCTCCCACATAGCAGATGATCTTCCCGCCCATGTGGTCGGTGAAGTCAAGGCCGCCGGCTGCTCCTGGGGCTCCCTCATCTTCTTGCTGGCCTCGACCGACCGGCCAGTGTCTCTTCTCAGTCCCTTGGGTCCTCATCCGCAGCCTTGTCCCCGTCCCTTCCCGCCTCCCAGCATTTGGCCGGGCAGGAACCTGGCAGCTGAGATTTTGAGCAGCCAGAGGAAGAGCTGGAGAGTGCTTCTAGCACATTCTCCCGGAGCTGGGCCTGTGTGCGGAGGGCAAGCCTGGGCTGCCTGGTGCTTCCCAGGCACAGGGCACTGCTGCAGGGGTGTGTGCAGACTCCCAGCAGACGGAGCTGCCAAGCACGCGGACGGAGTTGAGCATAAATGCGGGCATTTGAATGGGGTCTTCTGGACCCTCGCATGCATGTAGGGGAAGAACCGACGTGCCCAAATCGCTCCTGGAACCCCTCGGGGGACGCAGCACACATACAGGCTGAGAAGTCAATTCGGCAGGCTTCGTCGGTCTCCTGTCTTTTTTTTTTTTTTTTTTTTTTAAGATTTTATTTATTTATTTCACAGACAGAGATCACAAGCAGGCAGAGAGAGAAAGGGAAGCAGGCTCCCTGCTGAGCAGAGAGCCCGATGCTCTGGGGCTCGATCCCAGGACCCCGAGATCATGACTGAGTTGAAGGCAGAGGCTTAACCCACTGAGCCACCTAGGCATCCCGGTCTCCTGTCTTTTTGTCTTCTTCCCTCCCACGGGCAGGGGAGACCTTCCTGTTTTGGAAAGCCTGTGACCCTGCTGCCCCATCATCAGAGTCCCCTTCCGCTCAGCCCGGCTTCCCCAGAGGGCGCCACTTCCTCCAGCGCCCCCGTCCCCGGGCTGCAGCCCCCTCAGAGGGACTGCAAGTCTGCGGCCGCTGGTGCTCTCCTCAGCGCCACCTGTCCTGCTGTACGCCATGGGGCACAGGGCTGTTCCCCAGAGGCTGGCTTTTGGGTTCTTCCTTCCCTGGATGTCCGTCTCCCGTGTCCACTCCCAGTCTGTTTCCAGACCCTCGTTCCTAATTGCCTGACGTCCCCAAACATCGCAAACGCAACATCCAAACCAAGCCTCCGTCCCCGGCCCAACACCGCTGGCTCTCACTTTCCTGGCACCCGCCAACCGCGCATCCAGCTGCAGGAGCCTGCCCGGCGCACCTGGCCTGCTTCCGCCTGTCCCCAAAGCCACAAAATGGACCTTCCGTCCAGTCCAGCCTCTGTGTGAGCAGGACAAAGTCCCAAACACTTAAATGTTCACGCGGGACACAGCTGATGCCCAGGACCCCCTAGAAGGCCACTTTCCAGGGGCTCCCACTCTGCCTGGCAGCTTCTCGATGCCTCGAGAGCCTCTGCTCCCTCTTTCAGCATAAAATCCTAGAGCACATAGGGGTCCTCGGCCCGTAAATCGTGAGGTCCGTCTCTGACCTTCCTCCCGTGTTTCTCACGTATTGCTGAGCTCTGCTCGTGCCTGACTGAGGAGTTGTCCCCAAGCTCGCGCTCAGTAAATGTTTGATGTAAGTGAAAGAAGAGAAAGTTACCCTACGGATTTCCCCGTGCTTAGGGCCTAGGCTGGCCCAGGGTGGGTGTAGACACTCACTCAGAAAATATTTATCGGTTCGTTAACGATGGGACAACTGGATACCCAACGGAGGTGTCGGCTCTGGGCATGAGGGGAAGGTCAGGAGGGTGACCTTGGGCCCCGGACCGAGACGTGGTAAGGCACAAGCCAGGAGTGGGGGCGCCCCAGGATTGAGAGGAAGACCAGTAGGGATGTCTGAAGGGAAGAAGGGACGGACGACAGGGGTGGAAACGGTCCCGCTGTTGGTAGAGAGGGCCCCGCCCCCACATTCTGTACCGGTGGGAGGCCGGGCATCGCGACACCCGTCAAAGGCCTGGTCTTGGGTCCGTTGTCTGGAAAGCTCTTCCCAGGAAGTGGGCCATCCTGGTTAGCGGGTCAGGAAACCAGCTTGGAGCCGCAAAGCTGAACCCGGAGATCACGTCTGACCTCAAGGACTGTTGTCTTCCCCAGCACCTCCCACACTTCCGAGGAGGAGGCGGGTTCAGGTCTGAGATCAGACTTGAACCCGTCCGTGCTGATTTGAGGCACCAGCCGTGTCTGGTTAGGACGCTCAGGCCCGTCCTCCTTCTGTGTTAGGTGAGGAGCGCCCCGGAATTCACGACCGCGAGTCCCAGGTCCGCCTCCGTCCACCTTGGAAAGAGTAGAGTGGACGTAGGAAAGCGCGGCCCAACAGCCAAGCTCGAGGCCCCTGAGAGGCCGAGCCCTTCTTGGGGGGGGTTGGGGCCTGCAGGCAGACAGGAGAACCGGGTCCGGGCTCCCGGCCGCTCCCATCAGCTGTCCCCACAGTGATACTTTCTCCCTTTCCTGGGGCTTACTGTTCCATCAAACCTGCTCAAGGTGGTTCCGTCGTCGGCCTGTTTTTTCATGGGGTGACCTCAGCTGGAGCCAAATGCTTGCACAGGCAACTGTAGAACTCTGGGCCGGCCCAGCCCAGGCCCCCGGGATGCACAGCCAGGCAGCCCCTCCGCACCGTCTCCCTTTTCGTCCCCGGAGCAGGTGCGGGCCGTTTTCTGGCTGCCTCGAGCCGGGCCCAGGCAGGGTGCTGGACATGCCGCTGAGCAAGGAGGGTGCCATGCCTTTCTTCCAGGAGTTTCCACGCCAAGGAAAGACATGGCTTTGGTGCGCAATGATGTGCGCTCTGAAGGAACGGACGGGCGGGGAGTGGTCGTGTGGGCCCTCGGGTCCCCTTGCTGGGAAAGCAGGCGCAGTCAGTGTCTGGTGCGGAAGCCTCGGGCCGCCATCTCCGCTGTCCGGCCCGGCCGAGTTAGGTTCTGCTGCTCGCCGAGGAGGGGCCATCAGGCGTTCTTTGTTTTCCAGAAATCCTATCCTGGTTTCAGAAACAGGGAGAAAGCAGTTTCAGGTTCTGGGCTTTTAAAACGATCAGCCCAGAGATCTGGGCACTGCCCGGAGAGTGTGTTCTCGGGGGTGTCGCCCCCCCTGCTGGACCTGCAGGGAGCCGAGGGGCAGGCTGACCTCCTGGCCTGTCTCCAAAAGAAGGCCACGCCAGAGGGTGTGGAGGGCGTCCCCATAGCTGGGCTGGCCGCGTGCTCTCGGGCCAGCAAGCCAGGAGCCTCTTTGGTGGCTTTGTCTGAGCCCTTCCAGACTCTCCTCCTGGCACCGCCTGGCTCCAGAGAGTGGGGTCTGGAAGTACTCCAGCCCCTGGGACCTCTCCGTGGCCCTCTCTGTCACCTGCTGTCCCACACTGGGCATCAGGAGGACTGGGAAGAAGCCGGAAAGGGACAAGAGAGGAGGCTGCTGGGTTTGTGGCCTCCGGCTGGCTTCCCTCCTCCCTGCTTTTACAAAATCACAACAGTGGGCACCTGGTGGCCTCAGTCATTTGAGCATCTGCCTTCGGCTCTGGTCATGGTCCTGGGGTCCTGGGATCGAGCCCCGTATTGGGCTCCCTGTTCAGTGTGGAGTCTGCTTCTCCCTCTCCCACTCCCCCTGCTTGTGTTCCCTCTCTCGCTGTCTGTCAAATAAATAAAATCTTAAAAAAAAAATCGTAACGATGATTATCTTGTACTGCGCACACACACTCTGTGCCGGGCTCCGTCCCAAGCCCTTCACCATGGTCGCAGGTGTGTGCAGGGGACCCCAGCTCCGGAGGTGCACGCTCGGGCACCCCCGTCTGGCAGAGGCGGCCACAGCCTCCCAGAGTTTGCCGCTGCCTGTGTGATCATGGGCATGTCTGAAGGCCAATGGGGTTCCCACTGCTGTCGTCTCTCCTCTTCCTCTGACCTTGCCTGTAGAACACGAACCCTGCAACCCACCGAAACCACCGCTGGGTCTGGGTTCCCCCAAAGCCCCTTCGTCATATCCCTGTTCTCACTCTGACCAGATATGTCTCTCCCGCTCTGTTCTGAAGTCCCCACGCCTTGTTCTGTCTCCCTCCCCACAGGACCCTGCTGGAATCTTTGAGCTGGTGGAGGTGGTCGGCAATGGAACGTACGGACAGGTGTACAAGGTGAGCCTCTAATGGGGCCCTCGGGGCGGGGGGAGCAGGCCCTAGTTCTGGGGCCGTGGGAGGGGACGGAGGCTGGGAGAGGTAAGGAGCGTGAACGTGGTGGGAGAGAGAAGCCCAGCACGTGGGGTGTTTTGCTGGGCTGTGCATGGAGTCTCCATGAGTCCTGGGTTCAGCAGGAGGAGGTCTGGAGCCAGGCAGGGTGTGGGCAGGGGCCCGGGAGGGCAGTGGCAAGTGTGTGTGTGTCTGTGTGTGTGAGTGCGTGCGTGTGCGCATATGTGGGTACCTATGTGTATCTGTGAGCATGCATGTGTGCACATGTGTATCAGTGTAGGTGTGGGCACGCACTTGTGTATCTGTGGGTGTGTGGGTGTGTGCGTGCACATGTGTGTGTGGCTGTGCATGTGTGTCCGTCGGGGCTCACCTGGGAACTCTGAGCAGAGCTCAGGCCACAAGGGCAGTTCTGGCTTCTTCCCAGACCTCACCGAGGCCTAGCCTTGGCATTGGTGGAGCCCCAGGACCTGTCACAGAGGGGAAGTGGTTTTCTTGAGCTCTGGCTTTCTGCTCCGGGGGCCGTCCCTGTCCTCCACACAAAGTAGCAGTTCCGAGACCGTTGCCTGTCGCTTCAGCTTGGCCCACTCAGCCCAACCACAGGTCCCACTGGGAGGAGGAGGTGGCACATTAGATGTCCCAGGCGGATGCTGTCCCCAGAGCTGGAGCCTCTAGGGCACATGCCCGCCTTCTGCCTCTCCTGATGTGACGCTAGGCCTTTCCACCAGTCTCTGCATCGCAGGGGCATTTCCTGGGTCATCGGGACCACCCTGTGAGCTTTGGGGGAAAGGTGCACCTCCTCCCCCAGTCTCCCATTGCCAGCCTGGTTGTTGCCATGGAAATAGTAGCTGTGTTCTGCTGCTGCTCTGGGCTTGGGGTCTTGAATGACTGCTGAAGACAAGAATGATGGGAGGGGCTGACCGACCCTCCCCCAGCTCCCTGCTCTTTCCCAGGAAGCCTGGACTCCCCTGTCCCAGGCTGGGATGGCTCCTGGAAGAATGTCAGAGGGATGAGGGGGGAGGAGAGAGAATGGCAGGGACATATTCTAGAAGTTTCTTCCCATTAGCACTAGCGGTGGGGCATCGGCAGGCTGGTCCGCTTTCTGGATTTCCCCGAGTTCCCTCAAATCCCAGCTCTGTCTTCATTCTTTCCTGCCAATAATAATAAAAAGCCTTAGAAGGGGGCGATTCTGGGAAAGGTTCCTGAAAGCACGAGGCTGTGGGTCTGGCATAGAAGCTGCTAGAGAGGCGGAACCCCTCCCCCAACCCCCCCCAAGGCGGGGGAGGACCTCTCTCACCCCCTGCTCTTCAAACTGGGAGGCCCGGGACAGAGGTGACCCCCACGCGCCTCCCTGAGCTGTTTAGGGGGCAGAGCGGACCCGTCGTCTCGATCCAACTTCGCGCTTGGAGTCTGGGCCCTGTAGTTGTTCTGAGAGGCTTCTGCCTGCCCCTGTGACGCACCCATAGATGGAGTGTCTCGTCACCACGGGGACACTTTCTAAGACCGAAAACAGCCAGAAGGCACGGCCTGTCCCAGAATCACCGTTCCCAGACATAGACTCAGAGCCTCCGCGTCCGCCTCTCTGCCCCACAGGGTCGGCACGTCAAGACTGGGCAGCTGGCTGCCATCAAGGTCATGGACGTCACAGAGGTAGGGAGCAACGGGAGCGGGGGACAGTCAGGGACACCGAGGTGGGCGGGGGGGGGTTGCTCGGGCTCAGCCGTCCAGTCCTCCTAGGACGAGGAGGAGGAGATCAAACAGGAGATCAACATGCTGAAGAAGTACTCGCACCACCGCAACATCGCCACCTACTACGGGGCCTTCATCAAGAAGAGCCCGCCCGGGAATGACGACCAGCTGTGGGTGAGCCGGCCCTCTGCAGCCCTCCCTGCCTCCAGGCCCCCAGCCCTCCTTCCGTGCACACGGCCTCCCTGCCTCCCTACCCCACACGCTGTGGCCTCTTGCCAGGCCCTCCGGGGTCCTGGGGTTCTCTTGCATCCTCCCTGAGCAGGGCTGGGGCAGGAGGGGAGTGCGTCAGTCCTGCCTCCTTGCACAGCTCCGTGGGGAGCCACAGCCCCCAAAACTGTGTGGAGGCAGAGGTCGGACCCTCCTGGAGAGCACAAGCCCTTCTGGACGATTCCTCCATGGAGAGCTGTGGCTCCTTTGGGCCTCCCCCAGATTCTCTCCCGAGAGTCACTGCCCTCCTGGCCAGGCCCACCGTTGCCTGGCCTCGCCCTTCCTGCTCTGCAGCCCAGCGCCCGGGGAGTGTGCCGGGGACCGTGGCTGCGGGCTCAGGGCTCAGCGGGGGCTCCCCTCCCGCCAGCCACGGACAGGTGCTTCCCAAGCACTTGCCTGTGTACTCTGCACACGGGCGTGCGTCATGGTCCGTGTTCCCGAGGCGCTCATGCACGGACTGCCTGGAGCAGGGGCAGTGATTCTGCCCGCTGGGTGGTGGGTGGGCGACCCCAGGACCGGAGGCTAGGCCCTACCCGGGGCGCCCCCTGCTGGATGCACTGCATCCCCACCCCACCCCCACCCCGGGCTTGTGGGGGGCAGGGGCCCAGATGTGGGGCCGCAGATTCCCATCGCCACATTTGCGCGTGTACACGTCCCGGCCGGCCTTTTTCCGCATGGGATGTGTGGGGGAACACGGCCACGGGCCTCCCGATCCCCAGGGTGCTGGCGGCCGGGCCTCCGCGGCCTGTGCAGGGGTCTCCCCAGGACCCCTCCTGCAGCTCACTGGCCCACCCTGCCTGCCACTTCCTCTCCAGCAGGCCTGGAGAACCGTTCTTAGTCCCCGCCGTGCCTCTGGGTCTGGCGCTGGCCGCGAAGGCTGGGCAGCCGGTGTCTGGGGCTCTGTGGACCCTATAGTCTGTGACGGCTACTCACGGCGGCCGCTGGGCCCCGAAACAGTCACGGGCAGTGCGCACATGAATGGGGACGGGAGTGTCACTGGGTCCCCAGAAGCCTTGACTTAGGACATTCCAACTCCAATTTTATAGGATTCTTAGTTTGATTTTTTCCAACCGTTTAGAAATGTGAAAACCAGGCTTAGCTCGCAGGCCAAAGTCTGCCAGCCCGCGCTCCGAGGCCACCCTTACGATTTTGGGCTGCGGTCCCTGTGGGGCCCAGACGAAAGCCTGGGGCTGTCCCCGAGGAAAACGCGCACGGGCACTTCCTTCTGTCTAGTTTTCAGGGTTCCTCGGGCTCCCCCTTGGGGCCCAGACCGCCTCCCTTAGCCCCTCATGCACGGCCTTCTTGTCTCCCCGGCTCACCCCACTTGTGGCCCCGAGGCCTCTGGCCCTCCTGCAGGGGCTGGGGCGGGGGCAAGGAGGCCCTGCCCGACAGATGCTCTTCCCCGGCCCCGGGCTGCAGCTGGTGATGGAGTTCTGCGGCGCGGGCTCGGTGACGGACCTGGTGAAGAACACGAAAGGGAACGCCCTGAAGGAGGACTGCATCGCTTACATCTGCCGGGAGATCCTGCGGGTGAGCGCCTGAGGCCCCGGCCGGTCGGGACAGGGACACCTAGCCGGCCCTGCAGAACCCTCCGGCGGCAGGGGCACAGCTGCCCGTCACTGTCCCTGCCACCCTGCAGCTGTCGGGCCTTCTCCAGGGGCCGCTCCCCTGAGGACAGTCCCGCGTCGCGTGGGGGCCGCCCCTTCAGCCCAGCCCCCTGTGCCCCTCTCCTCTGGGCGGCCGTACCCTCCAGCGCCGGGGTTGAGCTCCCCTCCCCCCCACCCCAGGGTCTGGCCCACCTCCACGCTCACAAGGTGATCCATCGGGACATCAAGGGGCAGAATGTGCTGCTGACGGAGAATGCCGAGGTCAAGCTAGGTACGCAGTTCCTTCGTGGCGGCGGGCGGGGCGCTCTGACCTCCAGGACAGAGAGCAGGCTGCGCATCTTGCTCTGGGCCTGTCACATCTCCCCCGTGAGGCCCTTCCCCCTGCTGGGAATCAGTGCAGAAGTGCCCCCCGCCCCCCCACCTCTGCGTCCCAGGTGCTGTGCAGGTCCCTCGGGGGAGATGGGATGCCTTGGCCCCTCCTGCCTGGCCCTTGGCCCTTTCACACCAGTTGTCCCCCCAAACACAGGGACATTAGGTCAGGCTCCTCAGGATGTAGACGGGGTGGCGGAGGTGTCCGGGAACGTCTGGGTAGGCAAGGGCTCCCGCTGCCTCTGGGGCACGCACCTGCCAGCGCCAAGACCCCCAGGACGACCCCCCCGTGTCTTCCCAGTGGATTTCGGGGTGAGTGCCCAGCTGGACCGCACTGTGGGCAGGCGGAACACTTTCATCGGGACCCCCTACTGGATGGCCCCAGAGGTCATCGCCTGTGACGAGAACCCCGATGCCACCTACGATTACCGGGTATGGAGCAGGGGGCAGGCTACACGGAGGCAGCCAACGGTGGGACGGTGATGGGGTGGTGGGTAGACGGAAGGCGGGGGCAGGGGCTCGGACGGCCCGGGTGACACGGTGAAGGTGCGGTGCTGTGCCTGTGGTGAGGGATGGGGTCAGCTGGATCCCAGGAAGTGGTCCTGAAAAGGCCAGGATGGTGGGCACAGAGGGCCGTCAGGAACATGCTCCCATCCCTCCTTCCCTCTGCAGAGTGACATTTGGTCTCTAGGAATCACAGCCATCGAGATGGCAGAGGGGGCCCCCCGTAAGTGTGGACCTGGGAGTGGAGGAGCCCTAAAGGGACTGTGGGGGGGGTCACGGAGGTTGTGGTGGGAGGGACTGCTTGGGGCTCTGTGCAGGGCTGCGAAAGGGACTCATGGTGTGTCCCCCCCCATGTGCCAGCTCTGTGTGACATGCACCCCATGCGAGCCCTCTTCCTCATCCCACGGAACCCACCCCCCAGACTCAAGTCCAAGAAATGGTAGGTCCCTGGACCAGCGCCCCCCCCCCCCCCCCCCCCCCCCCCCCCCCCCCCCCCGCCTTCACCCCTGTGCCCAGTGAGGGTCTGCACCACAGAGGGCTGGGGGCCGGACCAGGCTTGGGATGTGGAGAAGACCTGAGGGAAACCGAGATGGCTTTTGGACGGAGGATCCCTCTCTCTGGCCTGTGACCGCCCCCCGCTTCCAGGGGGGCCCCTCCCAGCGTGAGCCCCCTTACCTTCCAGGTCTAAGAAGTTCACCGACTTCATCGACACGTGTCTTATCAAGACGTACCTGAGCCGCCCGCCCACGGAGCAGCTGCTCAAGTTCCCCTTCATCCGCGACCAGCCCACTGAGCGCCAGGTCCGCATCCAGCTCAAGGACCACATAGACCGCTCGCGGAAGAAGCGAGGCGAGAAGGGTAGGTCGGCCGGTCCCGCCTTCCCCCCTGGAGCCCAGTCCTGCCGCTCCCGGGAGCCCTGCGCACCCCCTCGCGGCCGGTGCTGCTCACCCCTGCGGAAGGTTCCTTAGCCCGGGGTGGGGTCTGGGGCGCCAGGCCAAGGAACAGCAGTGGCCTCCCCATGCAGAGGAGACGGAGTACGAGTACAGCGGCAGCGAGGAGGAGGACGACAGCCACGGAGAGGAGGGCGAGCCCAGGTGGGCCCCAGCCCCGGCTGAAGGGGGGCAGCCGTACTTGCGGGCACGGGGGGGGGCCCGGTCTAGGGTCGGGGGCAGAGAACCCGGCCCGGGTGTCGGAGGAGCGGAGGGACTGAGAGAGGGGGGCGAGGGTTGTGGGGGTGGGGGTGGCGGCGGTGTTCCCCCAACCCCCCACCCAGTGCATGCCCTGACCCCTCCGCCCCCCAGCTCCATCATGAACGTGCCCGGGGAGTCCACGCTGCGCCGGGAGTTCCTGCGGCTGCAGCAGGAGAACAAGAGCAACTCAGAGGCCGTGAAGCAGCAGCTGCAGCAGCAGCAGCTCCAGCAGCAGCGGGACCCAGAGGCACACATCCAACACCTGCTGCACCAGCGCCAGCGCCGCATCGAGGAGCAGAAGGAGGAGCGGCGGCGCGTGGAGGAGGTGCGGTGGCGTGGGGGGGGGTGTGCCCTGCCGTCCTGCTGTCCCAGAGGGGTGGGGGAGGCCCCCGCCCCACAGGGGGCGCCTTCCGCAGGGACAGGCCTGTCCCCGCTGTCCCCGCGCGCCCTCCAGTGCCCTGGGCTGCTGCCGCAGCAGCTGTCGGGTCTGATCCGGAAATCCATTCCCGAGATTCTCCTTTGTTTTCGGTGGTTTGGCTTAGATTTGCTAGAAAATACTTATTGGGGTGGGTGGGAGAAAGACCTCTGAGTTAATAGAGGGGCGCATTTTTTTTTAAGATTTTATTTATTTATTTGACAGAGATCACAAGTAGGCAGAGAGGCAGGCAGAGAGAGAGGAGGAAGCAGATCCCTGCTGAGCAGAAGCCCGATGTGGGGCTCGATCCCAGGACCCTGGGATCATGACCTGAGCCGAAGGCAGAGGCCTAACCCACTGAGCCACCCAGGCGACCCAGAGGGACGCATTTTTTAAAAAAAATTTTTTAAGATTTCTTTTTAAGATTTTATTTATTTATTTGACAGAGATCACATGTAGGCAGAGAGGCAGGCAGAGAGAGAGAGGAGGAAGCAGGCTCCCCGCTGAGCAGAAGCCCGATGTGGGGCTCGATCCCAGGACCCTGAGATCATGACCTGAGCCGAAGGCAGAGGCTTTAACCCACTGAGCCCCCCGGGCGCCCCCTAGAGAGGCGCATTTAAGCGGCTGCGCATTTTAGATCGGTTTAGAAAGAGGGCATCCGTATGCACGCGTGCTCAGATGCCTTTATTCTGCGGAGGGACGGGCTGAGGAGGACGGCGTAAACGCGGCCTCAGCGTCGGCATTTCTGTCCAAACGGTGATGTGACCGCCAAGTTCGCGGAGAACCAGACTTAAGAAAACCGTCTAAGTCGCGGGCGATACCCGTCGGCTGCCCCCCAAAACCTCCCCTGAGCAAAGGACCGGCAGGAGCCGGCCCCAGGGTGAGGGGCGCACGTTCACGGCAGCAGCCGCACAGGCTGGGGCCAGGCAGGGCACAGGGAGCTCCCGGGCTGGAGGGACCCTTTGGGAGGCCTCCTCTCTAGTGTGGACACACGGGCCACCCCTGCGGCCGGCCTGGACCAGGCGCTTCTGCGCGGGCACCTGCCGCCCCCTTGTGGCCAGAGGCTGTCCCTGCGGCCCACTCCGTGCTGCTGGCGGCCAGGCGGGTGAGGGGCTGGGGGGCTGGGCGTCTAACTCCCGGGCACTTGGCTGCCCTTGCGGCTGGCTTCGTGCACGAGTGGACAGAGAAAGCGTCATCCACGGTGGCCCCCAGGGGCGGCAGGCGCCAGAAGCGGGCTGGGTGTCCAGCGCGGGCCTGAAGGGTGCCTCTTCCTGCCCACAGCAACAGCGGCGGGAACGGGAGCAGCGGAAGCTGCAGGAGAAGGAGCAGCAGCGGCTGGAGGACATGCAGGCCCTGCGGCGGGAGGAGGAACGGCGGCAGGCCGAGCGCGAGCAGGTACAGCGCCCCCAGCGCACACCGGACTCACCCCTTCCCTGCCCGCCTCCCCTCTGCTCCTGCCGCCTGCCTCCCCTGCACCTTGATACCCTGCCCTGTCTTTCCCGTCCCCTAGATTCCTGTCTTTTCCAGCTTCACTCTCTCTCTGTTTTCTCCCACCCTTCAACCCCCACCCTGGCTCCTGCCCTCCTCCTGTCTCTGCGCCTTCATTCCCCATCTCTGTGCCCCGTCCTCGACGCCTCACCCCTGCGCCTGCCCTCTGCCCCTCACGGGCCCTCCACCCCGGCTTCCTCCTCATCGCCCGCCCTCATGGGGCTCATGCCCCCCCATCTGTCTCTCTCCGACGCTGCCTGCTCTCCTCATCCTCACCCCACCGATCCTGTCCTCCGACGACGCCGTCCCCCGCCTTTCCCCCTGCCCTTTGCTCCCCACCGCCCCCCCCCAGGAGTATATCCGTCACAGGCTAGAGGAGGAGCAGCGACAGCTCGAGATCCTCCAGCAACAGCTGCTCCAGGAACAGGCCCTGCTGCTGGTAACGGGGTCCCCGGCTTCCTCTGGGAAGCGGCGGCTTTGGAGCCTCTGTGCCAGAGTGGGATGGGGACACCACAGGGCAGGGGGTCCGGCCTGGCGCTGGGGGAAGACCCCGCGTCTCGGTTGGCCGGAGAGAGGGCCTGCCTGCCTCGGCCCGGGCCACGCGGCTGAGCCGCTCTCCCTCCCCTCGGGCCCAGGAGTACAAGCGGAAGCAGCTGGAGGAGCAGCGGCAGTCGGAGCGGCTCCAGCGGCAGCTGCAGCAGGAGCACGCCTACCTCAAGTCCCTCCAGCAGCAGCAGCAGCAGGGCTTGCCCGCGGACAGGAAGCCGCTCTACCACTACGGCCGCGGTGTCGCTGCCGCCGACAAGCCGGCCTGGGCCCGGGAGGTACGGGCCATGGCGCCCTGGCGGGTCCGGGAATGGGGAGCTTGGCACCGGGTGCGGGACGGGGACGGAGGGCCTGTGCTCCGAGGACGGGGAAGCGAAGCCAGCACCCCTCGGGCCTCCTTTCATGCTGCAGGTGGAGGAGAGAACGAGGATGAACAAGCAGCAGAACTCCCCCTTGGCCAAGACCAAGCCCGGCAGCACGGGGCCCGAGCCCCCCCTCCCCCAGGCCACCCCTGGGCCCCCGGGCCCTCTTTCCCAAACCCCTCCTATGCAGAGGCCGGTGGAGCCCCAGGAGGGACCGCACAAGGTGAGCCTCTCCCTAACATGTGTTCATGCGCAGATACGGGTGCCTCCCTCTGCACGGCCGTGGCACAGCCGGGCACCCACATGTGCACACACGCATGTGCACATACAAACAGGCACGTGTGCACATACAAGCACATGCATGCACACACATGAACACTCAGCCAGGGGTCATAGATCTCGTGGTACAAGGGCAAAGACAGCCACCTGTCTGCCTCTGCGTGAGTCTGGCTCTGTCCCCTGTTCTTGGGCTTCCACAGCCCCTCTCCTCCAGTGGACACTTGGAAGCCAGAGGCTCTCCTCACAGCTTCCTCCCAGCCCAGACCCCCGCTCCCGGGTGGGGATGTGCCACAGAGCGGGCAGCCCACCCTCCCTGGTCTTTCCCTGCAGAGCCTGGTGGCGCACCGGGTCCCACTGAAGCCATATGCAGCGCCTGTACCCCGATCCCAGTCCCTGCAGGACCAGCCCACCCGAAACCTGGCTGCCTTCCCAGCCGCCCACGAGCCCGACCCCGCCGTCCCCACACCCAGCACCACGCCCAGCGCCCGAGGAGCCGTCATCCGCCAGAACTCAGATCCCACCTCCGAAGGGCCTGGCCCCAGCCCGAGCCCCCCAGCCTGGGTCCGGCCGGATCCTGAGGCCCCACCCAAGGTAAGGGCTGTGCCACAGGACCAGGAAAGAGGAGAAACGGGAAGGAAAAGTAGGAACTGTGGGAAGCAGGCCCGGTGGAAACAGGGTTCAGGGCTGGAAGGGAAGAGAAGGGCCAGGCGCCCACCCTGGGCCCTGCCCCGCCAGCCTCCAGGCCAGAGGGCAGGCTGCCTGCTCTGGGACCATGTCCCTGCTCCCAGGGCTGAGTGAGGGACCCGAAGCGCACCCACGGCATTTGGGAAGCCGCAGGGGCGGACTTGCGGGGCTGGAGTCCCAGCTTCACGACTGTGGAAGATCTGTGAGCGTCCCTGACATCTGCTGGCGGGTCCGCGAAAGCCGGGGAGAACACCGGCCGAGTTGAGGATGCACCGCACTGACCGCACCCAAACCCGGTCCCCCTCAGGTGCCTCAGAGGACCTCCTCCATCGCCGCTGCCCTCAACACCAGTGGGGCCGGAGGGGCCCGGCCTGCTCAGGCTGTCCGCGCCAGGTAGCCCCCCCCGGCGGTGGGGAATGCATGGTGGCCCTGGGGCGGGGGGCTGGGGGGGCACAGGGGAGGTTGTCAGGTCACCCGCTCAGGGGTGGGCCAGCCCCACCCCAGTCACCTCAGCGCCCCCTGCCCCGCCCCCCGGGCACCCCTGTGCTCCCTCCACAGACCTCGCAGCAACTCCGCCTGGCAAATCTATCTGCAAAGGCGGGCAGAGCGGGGCACCCCCAAGCCTCCAGGGCCCCCCGCTCAGCCCCCTGGCCCGCCCAACGCCTGTAGGTAATGGAGTTGCCCCCCCGCCCAAGTCTCACCCTCACTGCGGCCATCGGCTGCCCCCTGGTGGTGGCTCTCTGCATTGCAGCGCTACGCTGGAGTCGGGGGTGTGGCTCCCTGACCGGCCTCTGCCCTCCCACAGCAACCCCGACCTCAGGAGGAGCGACCCTGGCTGGGAGCGCCCAGAAGGTGCCCTCCCGTCTCATGGGCACCTCCCGCAAGCCGGCTCGCTGGAGCGGAACCGCGTGGGAGGTATGGCCGGCCCGGCTCTGGGGCCCACCCAGACACTGTGGGGGGACCCTGCCTCAGGCCCGGTTGGCTGTGGGTCAGTGAGGGCGAGCAGGGGTCTGTGACCTCCCTTCTCCTGCCCTGCCCTATGCAGCCTCCTCCAAACTGGACAGCTCCCCCGTGCTCTCCCCCGGAAACAAAGCCAAGCCCGAGGACCACCGCTCCCGGCCAGGCCGGCCCGCAGTAAGTCCTGGGCAGCAGCCGCAGCCCCGCCTGCTCGCGTTGGGGGTGGGGTGGGGCTTGGGGCTTCAGGGCCCCCAGGAGCCCCGGGCTGGGCCCTCTGCGACCTGGTGCCAAGGGGCTATGGGCCGCGCTTCTCGGCTACTGATCTCTCTCCACCTCTCTCCGCTCCTCCCGCTGCCCTGCGGCCCCTGCGGCCCCTCCCAGAGCTATAAGCGCGCCATCGGTGAGGTCAGTGATGAGGCCCGCTTGGGAGCCCCCGTGCCTGCCCCTTCTCCTCTGGCTTTCTTCGTACCTGACCCCACCCTCCCCACCCCCCCTCCTTACGGGTCCCCCCTCCCCCCACCCCTGCAGGATTTTGTGCTGTTGAAAGAGCGAGCCCTGGACGAGGCCCCGCGGCCTCCCAAGAAGGCCATGGACTACTCGTCCTCCAGTGAGGAGGTGGAAAGCAGCGAAGATGAGGAGGAAAGCAACGGCGAGCCCTCTGAGGGGAGCAGAGATACCCCCGGGGCCCGGTATGGGGGCACCCTGGGGGAAGGCAGGCTCCCTTTCTCCTAGATTGGAGGACCCTGGCTTTTCCAGTCTCTGGAGAAGGGGATCTGGGCTGGTGGGATCTGGAGACCCACCTGTCTCCCACTGCTGTGTCAGCTGAGGGCGGGCCTCCCCCAGGTGCTAGAACCCCCCACTCCCACGGGGCAGTGTCCACTGGAGGGGAGAGCGCTGGCCCTCCATCCCTGGCAGGCTCCCCGCGGCGGGCTGGACCTGGGGGCTGACGGCCATCCTGTCTCCCACGGCAGTGACGGAGACACCGACAGCGTCAGCACCATGGTGGTCCACGACGTGGAGGAGATGGCCGGGACCCAGACCCCCTATGGGGGCGGCACCATGGTGGTCCAGCGCGTGAGTGGCCCCCCTTCTTCCCCACGCCTGCAGTGCCCCCCCGCCTCTGGCCCGGCACTGGCTCCCTTCCCTCTGTTCCTCAGACCCCCGAGGAGGAGCGCGGCCTGCTGCACGCGGACAGTAACGGCTACACCAACCTTCCTGACGTTGTCCAGCCCAGCCACTCGCCCACGGAGAGTGGCAAAGGCCAAAGTCCCCCCTCGAAGGACGGAGGCAGCGACGTAAGTGGGCACATGCAGCCCTGGGCATGGAGCCGTGGGCGGGGGGTGCGGGGTCCGGGTCTGGAGCGTTTGCCTGACCGCTGCCCCACCCCCACAGTACCAGTCTCGTGGGCTGGTAAAGGCCCCTGGCAAGAGCTCATTCACCATGTTTGTGGACCTAGGGGTCTACCAGCCCGGAGGCAGTGGGGACACCATCCCCATCACAGGTGAGGACGGGAGGAGGTGTGGCTCGAGGCCAGTGGGAGGGCACAGGCTGGCCCCTGGTGGTGTGGCTTTCCGGAGCTGCCGGGCCTGCACTTGGGCCTGAGCGCCTGCCGGGGACAGAGGTAGCCGGGGCGCCTGAGGGACAGGATGGGGATTTTGCTGGGCCTTCCGCCCACTTTCCACTCCTCCCTGCACCTTCTCCTTTCTCCACCCTTCCCCTGTCCTGCTGAGTATGCAGAGGAGCCCCCCACCACCAAATGCGGGGGTGGGGTGGGGAGGGCTGGGGGGAGGGGGCTGCAGCCCTCCTCCCCCTTCTCTTCTCTTTCCGGCAGCCCTGGTAGGGGGAGAGGGTGGCCGGCTGGATCAGCTCCAGTATGACGTCCGGAAAGGATCAGTGGTCAACGTGAACCCCACCAACACCCGCGCTCACAGCGAGACCCCCGAGATTCGGAAGTACAAAAAGCGGTTCAATTCAGAGATCCTCTGTGCAGCCCTTTGGGGTGGGCCAGGGCGGGGGGGGGGGGAGAGCGGGGGCGGTGCGCCCCTGTGCTCTCGGCCTGGGAGGGCGGGCTGCGGGTGACCCGCTCGCCGGCTCCCACCGCAGGCGTCAACCTGCTGGTGGGCACAGAGAACGGCCTGATGCTGCTGGACCGCAGCGGCCAGGGCAAGGTGTACGGGCTCATCGGGCGGCGGCGCTTCCAGCAAATGGACGTGCTGGAAGGTCTCAACCTGCTCATCACCATCTCAGGTGCGCGGGGCGCGGCGCTCATGGGGCCCGGCGCGGGGACCCCTGCGCTGTCCCACCTGCAGCCTGGGAGGAGGCGGGGACTCCCCTGATGCCGCCGTGGGGTGCAGCCGACCGCTGGCGGAGGGGGCGGGAGGCCGGCGCTGGACGGCCGGTGAGGGCCTGTGTGTCTGCCCTCAGGGAAAAGGAACAAACTGCGGGTTTATTACCTGTCTTGGCTGCGGAACAAGATTCTGCACAACGACCCGGACGTGGAGAAGAAGCAGGGCTGGACCACCGTGGGGGACATGGAGGGCTGTGGGCACTACCGCGTGGGTGAGGAGGTCACCGCGGGGCGGCCCCGGGGGCCTGGGCAGCATGGCCGGGCGACGGGGCCAGGCGCTCAGTGACAGGCCTGTGGGACCCAACCCTCCCCCGCCCTGCCCGCAGTGAAATACGAGCGCATTAAGTTCCTGGTCATCGCCCTGAAGAGCTCCGTGGAAGTGTACGCCTGGGCCCCCAAGCCCTACCACAAGTTCATGGCCTTCAAGGTAGCCCCGCCGCAGCCCCCCACCCGCCCAGCCCGGCCGCAGCGGCCGGGCTGCGGCTCCTGAGCCCCTCTCCCGTCCACAGTCCTTCGCCGACCTCCCTCACCGCCCTCTGCTGGTCGACCTGACCGTGGAAGAGGGTCAGCGACTCAAGGTCATCTACGGCTCCAGCGCCGGCTTCCACGCAGTGGACGTGGACTCGGGGAACAGCTATGACATCTACATCCCGGTGCACGTAAGCTAGGCGGGGCTTGGTAAGCTGGGCGGGGCTTGGCGCGGGCGGGGCAGTGAGGGGGCGTGGCCTGCAGCACGCCCTCTCGCCCCCAGATCCAGAGCCAGATCACGCCCCATGCCATCATCTTCCTCCCCGACACCGACGGCATGGAGATGCTGCTCTGCTACGAGGACGAGGGCGTTTATGTGAACACCTATGGGCGGATCATTAAGGACGTGGTGCTGCAGTGGGGAGAGATGCCCACCTCCGTGGGTGAGCAAGGCGCCCGCCCCAGGGCTGCCCCCTGGGCCCCCAGCCACCGCTGCAGCCCACTCACTGGCCCTCCTGCCCTTCTCCCCCAGCCTACATCTGCTCCAACCAGATCATGGGCTGGGGTGAGAAAGCCATTGAGATCCGCTCGGTGGAGACGGGCCACCTGGACGGCGTCTTCATGCACAAACGGGCCCAGAGGCTCAAGTTCCTGTGCGAGCGGAACGACAAGGTGGGAGCCCCTGGTCCTGCCCCTGCTGGCGGACTCGGTGCGGGGCGGGGGTGGGGGGTCGCCGTGGGGTCTTCTGGGGGCACAGCCTGCATCACAGCCTCCTTCCCTCTCTCCCACCATCACGCGGGCTGCCCTCTCCCCAAGCAGCTCTGCCTCTGGGGAGGGGGGCTGGCGCGCTAAGACTAAATTCTGCAGTTTCCAGCTCTCCCCCTCTCGCTGCGGCTCACAGTTAGTCCCAACCACCCCCTGGCCCCCATCCCTCCTGACCTCTCCTACCGCAGGTGTTCTTCGCCTCCGTCCGCTCCGGGGGCAGCAGCCAGGTTTACTTCATGACGCTGAACCGGAACTGCATCATGAACTGGTGACGGGACAGCCGCCCCCGCAGCCGGACCCCCCAGGCCGCCCTCCTTTCCCCTCCCTGGGCTTTTGCTTTTGACTGGTTTGATTCACTGGAGCCTGCTGGGAACGTGACCTCTGACCCCTGACGCTTTTGTGATCACGTGACCATCCTGTTTCTCCCCCCCCCCCCCCCCCCGCCTCAGTTCATTCTCTCCCCAAAACTGTGCCTGTCCCAATTCCGGGGAGAGGCACGGCTTCCCCTTACCAGGAATCCAGAGGGCCGAGCCCCACCCCCCTTTTCTCCACTTCCGAGGAGAGTGCTCGGGGCGGGCACCCGTACCCCACTGCTGCTGACCGGGCAGGGCCCTGGGCCCCTTCATTTGCACGTCAGGGGAGCCGGCTCCCCCCTTGAATGTACCAGACCCTGGGGGGGGGTCACTGGGCCCTAGGTTTCAGGGGGGTCGCCCGCCACTCCGGGGGCAGGGACCATTTCCTCATTTTCTGAAAGCACTTTAATGATTCCCCTCCCCCCAAACCCCAGGGAATGGAGGGGGGACCCCGCCAGCCAAAACATTTCCCCCTTTCCAACCCCTTTTCTTTCTAGCCTCTGTCCTTCCCTGGTGGAGGGAGGGAGTGGGGAGCTCTCGCTCCCCCCTGCACCCCCTTGCTTGCCTCTGTATATAGTGTGAGCAGCAAGTAGCCCTGCCCCGTCCCCCTCAATGTAGTGGCCTTGGATATTCCGTTTGTTAATAAAGACAATTCAACCAGCTCCTACCATCCAGGGCCCCTGTCTTCTCTCCCAGTCCCGGAAACCAGCCCGGCTAAGCCAGCAGGCCTGGGACGAGGGGGCGGCCCAGGGGGCCTTAGCTCTATGGCCTTTGGGACATGTGAGCCCTGTGCGCTCCCCGGAGGTGGCACACGGCTTCCAGGTTCCAGCCGCCTCCAGGGCCGTCCTGCCGTTTTCTGCCGATAAAGGCAGCAGCTCCCAGGGCTGGAGAGAGGGTCACCAGGGCTGGAGAGAGGGTCACGAGGGCTAGGCTCTGAGAAACACTGGGGGGGCGACAAGGCTGGATGCAGGAGTGGCGAGTGGTTTCCGGAGGACCGTGCTCTGCCCCCGACCCCGGCGGGGCAGACCTCCACAGGTGCGCGCACTCAGCCACACGAGCCCGGGCACAGCCCGGGCACAGCCGGGGAAGTTGGCACAGCGCCGATTTATTGCGGCAGCGAGCACAGGACCGCACCGCAGCGGGTCTTTCAAAATCGGTTTCCTCCAGAAGCGAGTGTGGGGGTCGCAGTCTACATGCACGGCGGGTAGGGCAGATCGGGCACTCGGTTCAAGTAGCCCCCGAGGAAGATGAGGCTGGACCCCACGCCGAAGAGCACCAGGGCGGCCCAGAAGCAGACGTTGTCCAGGGCCTTCCCCATGCGCACCCAGTCGGACACCTCCTGGGGAGGGGCGGACACGAGCTGCCTCTCCCGCGGCGCCAGGGACTGGGGGCCTCCAGGCCATCCCACCCCGGGGCCTGTCCCACCTCGCCGGAGGCCTCCTGGTCCCGCGTGCTCTCGGCCACGAAGTTCACGGCGTCCACGCAACAGCGGACCTCGGGGGCGGCGGCGCCCAGGCTCTGGCAGAGGGCAGCTGGTGGGGCGTCCGGGAGGGAGGGGAGGGTAGGGTCAGCGGGGAGCCCGCCCCGCCACACGCGCCTGCCAGCGCGCTCCCCTCCGCTCACCGGTCCAGACCCCGTGCCGGTGCCTCTGCCCCTCAAACACGAGCTCGCTCCGCGGCTTTTTCAGTATCAGCTCCTCCGCCCGGAGCAGCAGGCCCACGGACGAAGCGCGCCTGGGCGGTGAGGTGGCCCGTGGAGCCTCGGGGGGGCGCGCCCGAACCCAGGAGGCGCGGCAGGAGCTCCAGCAGGACCTGGCGGAGGGGCGGGGTGAACTCGAGGTCCCGCCCACCGGGCCGCCGGCCCCGCCCACCCGGGCCTCGCCCCCGCCCACCCGGCGCTTACGTGGCGCAGCCGAGGGGACATGGTGTGCGTAGTGGGCGTCCGCAGGGACACGTTGAGCACGATGACGCAGTTCATGACGATGACCGTGGCAACCACCATGACGAAGATGAGGTACCTACAAAGGCCGCCGCGCTTGACCTCACAAACGACCCTCCCGGCACGCGAGGCTGCTCCTCCCCGGCGGGCCCAGACGGCGCGCGCGCGGCCCCGATGCCCCCCTTTCCGCCGGCGGCCATGGAGGGGACCCCCAGCTCGCTGGAAACCCTGCTGTGGGTCTACCACTTCCACAGCTCCACGGAGGTGAGGCTCCGCCGGCGGCCCCACCTGGGGCGGGCGTCCCCGGGAGCTCCGCCCGGTGACCCGCCGGCGCCGCCGCCCCCGCTCCTTGCCCAGGTGGCCCTGCAGCCCCCGCTCCTGTCCTCCCTGGAACTCGCCGTGGCCGCAGCCCACGAGTATCTGGAGCAGAGTTTCCGGGAGCTCGAGTCCCTCCAGCCGCGGGAGCCGCAGGGGCCGCCCGCCCCGAAGCCCACCCTGGGGCTGGTGCTGAGAGAGGCTGCGGCCAGCGTCGTGAGCTTCGGCGCCACCTTGTTCGAGGTGGGGCGCGGAGGCTGCCGAGGGGCGGGGAGGCGGCGGGGAAGGGGCGGGAAGCGGCGGGAAGCGGCGGCAGAGGCCCCTGCGCCCCCGCCAACTCCCGCACCCCCACCGCAGATCTCAGCCCTGTGGCTGCAGCAGGAGGTGCGGCGACTGGACGGCGATGCCGGCAGCCCGAGCCCGGGCCCGGCCCCAGGCGCCGGGGACCCGGGCGGAGCGCTGGCCCGGGTAGCCCAGGCGGCGGGGCAGGGGGCTCGGCGAGCGGGGGCTGCGGCGGGCGCGGGGGCCCGCCTGGCGCTGCAGGGGGCGTGGCTGTGCCTGTGCGGGCAGGGCCTGCAGGGCTCCGCCTCCCTCCTGCCGCCGTGGGGGCGCCCGCTGGGCCTCGGGGCGGCCGGGGGACGGGTAAGTTCAGGACGGGGAGGGAGGGGGGAGGAGCCGAGGGCGGCAGGGCTGGCGTGGGGCACTGAGTTGGCCCGCCCCCAGCAGAGATACTCAGGGGACCTCAAGGTGGCGTCCAGCAGCAGCGCGGAGGACGGGGGACCCGAGAACCCGCCGCCGCCCCAGCCCCGCCCCACGCTCGAATAAAGCCCAGGCGGGCCGGGACGGCCGAGCGGCTCCCCGTGTCTCTTGGCCGTAGCCCCGCCCCAGGCTCGCCTGGCCCCGCCCCGCGGCTCCGCCCGCACACGTGGGTCCCGCGCCGCGCCGCCACCTGCCCAGCATCGGGACGCCCAGCGACGTCTCGGGGATCTTCTGCGCGATCAGGAACAGGAAGACGGTCTGGGCCAGCAGGACGTTGATGGACACCGTGCACTTCTGGCCGCCGGCTGGAGGGAGCGCCCGGTGAGGCAGGCCCCGCCGCCAGCCGCGGGCCCGGGGTCTGGCCCCCGCCGCCCCTTACCCTGCGCCGGCAGGAAGTAGGCGAGCAGCACCAGGCCCGATATGAGCACGCAGGGCACGATGATGTTGATGACGTAGAAGAGCGGCTTCCGGCGGATGATGAGCGTGTAGATGACGTCGACCACCCCCGGGCCACCCGCGGAGGCGCTGTTGGGGCGGCGGATCAGCCCGGGGCAGAAGTCGATGGCCCACTCGCCGTTCTCTGCGGTGGGGGCAGGGGCGCGGTCAGCCGGCGCGGGCCGCACACCTGGCCGTGACACCTGGGGCTGCGGGCGGTGGGGAGGTGTGGCCGGCCCGCCCCGACTGGTGGGGTCTCGGGTGATCTGGGCCGTCGGGGCGAAGGCGGTTCCAGCGGAAGGGGGCGGTCCCGCGCCACCGTGGACAGTGCTTTCGGTGGAGGGGCAAGGTTAAGATCAGCTGCCCGGCCTCCATGGCCTGGGGCCACCGCCCTCGGCGGGTCCCCTCCGCAGACCGCGTCTAGGGGCGGGTTTTCGGAGCAAGAGGAGGCCTCACCCGTGTAGGCCTCGGTGTCGATGTCAATGTTGCTGATGGTCTCGCCCTCGTGGTCCACTGCGAAGACGAAGTCCACCTCTTCCGCATTGTAGGTCTGCGAGCTGCGGAGCCAGGGCCAGCGCGTCTGTGCCGCCCGCCGCCCCTGCCCCCGCCCCATCCCATCATCACACCCCCCGCCCCCGCCTCTGAGCGGCTCGCCCCACCGGAAGACGAGCGAGCAGTTCTGCCAGTCGAAGGGGAAGTAGGTGACCTCCACGGCGCAGGTGCTGCGGTAGATGGCCGGGGGCAGCCAGCTCACGTAGCCGCCCTCGTAGATCAGCACGTTGGCGTCGTAGGCCACGCCGAACTGGCCGTCAATGCTGGGGACCCCGAGAGAGCCTGCGTCGGTCAGGCTGCCAACCCCCTGCCCTCCCACCAAGCCCAGCCCACGCCAGGTGCAGCCCCAGGCCCCCAGGCCCTGGCTTCCACTGAACTGAACGATGCTCACTTGTTTTCCAGCACAATCTCTGGGAGCCAGACAAGTTCTGAAGGGACCCGCAGGGTCTCCACGCCCCCAAAATCATCCTTGCTGTAGTTGAGTCGGTAATCCTGCCAGTCCTAAGGAGTGAGGATGGTCGCACAAGTGCCCTGTATTTCCCACCTTGTGCCCGCCAGGAGTTTGGGGGAGGGGGTGGAGACCTGCTGCTGCCCCCCCAGAGCTGACTCACGATTCCGATCCAGACGCTGGTGGTCAGGGTCTCCTCTTTCTCGTTCTGCAGAAACGAGCGGGTCAGGACGGTTGAAGTGGGAGTCCAGAGCCAGGAGTGGAATTCCAGGCTCCGGGGTGGGGGTGGGGTGTCTTACAAGGGAGATGAGGTTGGTCAGGGTGACCTTGAGGGTAATGGTGACCATCTCTTCAGGCTCCTTCACGGGCCGGCACTTGGGGTCGTAGTTGTTGAAGAGATGGTGGTAAAGACGCAGCTCCTCGTTCTCCGCCTCACCGGCACCTGGGGAGGGGTCCAGCCATGGGCTTGCTGCACACCAGGGGCTGGGGGGCTCTCTGCTGCCCCGGGGTCTACACGGGGCTCTGCTGTGAGTGTGCCCCTGAGGCTGTGTGCTTGGCCCGCCTCCTGAGCCCGCCACTGAGTCCGCTTCTCCGTCTCTCGTCTTGGCCCGTCCCTGGGCATCCCTACCCCCGTGCGCGGGATGGAGCCCCGGCCATACCCAGGAGCCGCAGGAGGAGCAGCACGCCCAGCAGAGCCCCTGCCATCCTGTCTGGTCCTCGGGGTTATTCTGAGCTCGGGCAGGCTTCAGGGGGGCAGGCTGGGGTGTGGGAGGGAGGGCGGGCGGGGGTGTTAGTTCCGGGCTGGGTTAGGGGACTGTCACCTAATCCTCTTCCTGCGGCCAGAGACCTCTCGGCCGCTCCCACTGGCAGCTGCCCTGTCCTGGCATCCTTCGCCTGCTGTTTGGCCGCAGACCCGACCCTTTTAAGCTGGGGAGCAAGCCGGGATAGGTGCAGGTCCTCTCAGAGCACCTGGAACCGCACGCTTGGCAGTGGGGGATGGGTAGCCCTGCTCTGAACAAGCCCCAGTGTCCCTGGAGAAGCCGCCCAGTGCAGGTGACCTCCCGAGCCGCCTCTCACTCACGTGGCACACCTTTCCACCCCCCACCCAGCCAGAGTCACAGCAGTGCTGGCAAAGTCCCCACAAAAACCTGGTAGTAAGACAGGCGCCCGCAGGGGAGCACTCGGCAAGAACGGGTCACCTGGCAGGGGGACCCTGCGGC